GAAGAATGAAAACCCAGGTGAGTGTGTTTTCAGGGTTGGGTTTTGTGTGGGTTTTTTTGTTTGTTTGTTTGTTTGTTTGTTTTTTTAATACACTTTGGCAGTGGAGCCACCTCACCATTAGAAATCATCGTCGTTACCACAGTAGCCCCAGAGCAGTGAGTGGGATTATCGGGTCCTGTAGCGTGCGATGACCTCTGCAATCACCAATTTTTTAGCAGGGAAACTGTCCCTGCTAAAAAAACCCCTCCAAATAGACCAATTTTGGAGAGTGGGGAAAACCTGTTGATATTTTCAGTTTTTGGGAAGGCAATTGGATGTGGTGAAGAATCAGAAATAAAATCTGCTGCTTGAGTCCCAGCCCAGTGCTTCAGCCAGCAGCCGTCCTTCCAGATCTTTTTTTTACCTTTTCCTTTCTTACTTTTAATAGAAGGTGTAGTTCTCTAGTTATCCAGTTCTGCTTGACTTTCAGTATCCTCCAGTAGATTTAAAGGCATTACAAAATAATAGGTTCTGTAGTGCAAGAAAAGATTTCCAGAAATACGATGTGATGGTGCTAAGAATGACCAAAAACTCCCAGTGAAGTTTTGGAGACGTGGGTGTGCACCAGGGTCCCGGTCCCATGCCATTCAGACTGGGCAAGCGGTCTTGGGTCACTGGTTATCACTTTTTTTGCATGTACCCCATCTCTCACACTCGGGGAGTCCTTGAGGCTGTGCAAGTTCGTTGTGAGTTAGTGACACTGCGTTTTTAGGGGTTTGTGCTTTCAATCTAGAAAATGTCTGTATTTCCTCTTTGTGAGACCCTGTAGATGGATCCCTACATGGATAAAGTCACTCCCACTGTACAATGAAAGCGTGGAGTCAAATGCGCTTTTTGCAAACCCTTCTTCGTTCCCTGCGCAGTGCAAATGAGAAGAGTAATGTCTGTGTTAATGCAAGAGACTCCTCAATGAGACACTTTGGTAGACATCATGGGAGTTTCATGCTGGCTTTGCTTTTTGCGTAGGGTACCCTGACAGGAATGACATAGGAACAAGAGTTGTCAGTGTGGCACTTTGTTTTCCACAGAGGACAATTGTATTTTCGAGGGGAAGCTGATTTTAGGGTTCCCATGTGCCCCAGAGTAATGCACTGAACGCATTCAGTGTAACTAAAGATCCAGTCTTTTATTTGCAGACCTTTTTTAGCAGCACTGTGTTATTTCAACGTCATTTTAAGTGGTTGAATCTGTGCAAGTAGATGGAAATGAACCATTGCCTATCCACATTAAGTGTTCTCGTGTGCGTTTGTGTGTAACTTTAGGTTCTTAAAAGAAGACAATGGGCACATTTCCATGCTTCATTTTTTTAATTTTACACAGATTGATGGGTTTTGGAATAAATTGTAAACCCTCAACAGTTTGGCACATGGAGAAACTCAACTTGGAAAAAAAGAAAGGAGAATATGGAAACCTTATAAATCTTAACTTGGACTTACTTCTGAGTTTGCTGTCTGGTCTATGCAGTTCACTTTGTTCCTACAGAGTTTCAGGCTCAGATATCTTCGTCATATTCTCTTATTCCTTGTAAATTGTGTCTAGAAAAATGACACCTGCTGGGTTTTTCTTCTCTGTAAATAGCTGGAATTTGCAATGTAGAAGTATAAAGATGAGCTGTTATGATTACTTAGCAAATAACTAATGTGTGAAAATTGTGTACAAAATAAATCGAGGTTCTAAAAATAAAATTTGAGACTGGAAGAAATTCTTCAGGCCCCAGTTACAATAAGAGTTTTTCCATCATTGGGCGGATGTTGACAAAAGACTGAGTCAGGGAAACTTGATCCATTTTCCTTTGGGTGGTTAAATTTTAAACTTGGGACCATAAAATTACAGTACGCAGTGGTCCTAGATAAGATCTGTGAGTTATATATGAAGTATAAGACTTCTTGAATTTATTATCCTCCCCTCCGCCTCCAAAAAATGCTACCTAGATCTATTAGATCTGACTGATAAACCATTCCATTTAAAATAAAAACCTTTTTACTTGAGATTTTCTGGCTGAGCTGTGGAATATTTAGTTTATTTATTAAATTTTAAGTGTTTGACAAATAGCTCTAGTTCTTGTGTTACATTTTCTTTGAGCTGAGAGTACACCTGTGCTATTTTTTGCAGTTGTGCTCGTGCATTGCAACTCAATTGTGTGTCTGAGCCTGTAGTTTTATGTACTTTCTCCTTTCTTTCTTTTGACTGATGGAGAGCACCCAAAACTGCCTTTTACTAATGAGGGGCATAAGGGGTGAAGATAAAGCAGCACACACTTACCAAACTTGTGGATGCTATTTGCTCTTGTAGTGGTAGGGGGAAACTGATGATAACTGTTAGGGTGAGGATGCTTTGTGCACTCCTTTAGTGAACCTGGGAGAGAACAGCAGTGTATATGGGTGAACAGTGTATACGGGTGTGAGTGTTTATCTGGGACATAGAGCAGAAATGTATGTCTTGTGTGCATGCGCCTATAAAAGAGAATGTGTGTGAACTTTTGTGTGTGCTTGTGCAGCATGTTTCTGGGAGAACTGGATAAAAATGAGGAGAGATAGAAGAAAGGGGGGGAAAAGTTGGTGGAGAGAGTTCATGAAGAAGGAACTTCTGGTCTCCAGTCATGAAATGGAGATGAGTGTGATTATCTATTTCTGTACAGTCTGAATAGAAATTACGATGAATGTATTAATAATTAGAATACATTAGGAGGAGTTGTTTGGTATTTGTTATATGAATACTGGTAAGTGTGGTAGGCGTCTCATAAAATACTTCATCAGGTACCTCGCCAAGTATTTTTTCTGCATTTACGTCTGCTGCCAGTATTTACATATGTGATTTTAAATCTGAATTTCTGAAATTGACTTTTTGCCAGTATTAACCTCAGGAGTAACCAGTCTTCACAGGAAGTCAGTTCAAATGAAGAAGTAACAAGGCTAAACCGAAATTTTAACACATTC